GCGGACAGGTCGGAGAAATAAAATCATTCTTAACTACCCTAGTTTGATTAGAAAGGTTGAAAATCCTTTCTAGGAAGTATTGAAAAAATAGGTAAGGCCATAAAGAAATCAAGAGAACAAGAGATTTATCAGTGGGTGATGGATTTATGGCTTGGGCAGAGAAAGGATCCTACCTTAACTCCTTTTGGAAAGCAGTTATGCACGGACAAGAAAATTTGGAAGGAAAGGCTTTCTCTTAATGTTAGCAAAGGAACAATTACTTTACTGGAAACCTAAAGCAGCAGTTAAGGATTCTCCAAAATACAGAAAACACAACCAAAAGCTTGAATATGAAAAGTGAATGTGGATTCTCCTAGCTGTGGACACTACTGTGCTAAACCGTATTCATAGTAAAATTTTATGAAGTAACCCGTAACATTTATCATCTCTGAATGAGCATGTTCCAGAATGAATGAGTCATTTACTTAATCAGTTTGTCAGAAGACACATGCCCTGGCCTAGTCAGAGAGAATGTGTGTGAGAGATAAATCTTTCTAGCCAATCCTATTTCCTGATCACTTCCAATTATCTTTAAGTGGCTCTAAATAAAAGAAGGTGTTTTCCTTACAGTACTGGATTATTACATAGAAAGTAGGGGTTTTAATAAAGATTAGCAGGAATAGTTAGGCTATTAGCTAAATTAGGCTTTGGGTGGTTTTCCAGCTGACAAGTATATGAAAGAATTTTTTCCTATACAGTATACCAGTGATGGCGAACCTTTTAGAGACTGAGTGCCCAAACTGCAACCCAAAACCCACTTATGTATTGTTGGGTGCCGGGTGGGCATGGCCCATTGGGTGGCTGTGGCCCATTGGGTGGGCGTGGCTGCAGTGGCAGACTGAGTAGGACTAAAAAGTTCAATCAATCAATTCCAACTTTGCGAGATCGTTTTTTCCCCCACGAGAAATTGAAATTGATTGATTGATTGGACCTTTTTTTTTTTTTTGCACACGGCGGCGGAGGCCTAAAGCGAAAAGATTTTATAAAACCCAGCTGAAGGTCTAGGACTTGGGTGACGGTCCGCGTGCCCACAGAGAAGGCTCTGCGTGCCACCTGTGGCACGCGTGCCATAGGTTCGCCACCACGGCAGTATACTATAGAAGCTAAATATTAGCCATATAAATTTAGCTCATAGAAGTTATGTAAACTATGGTTTTTACATGATAAGCCATAGTTAATATTTGCTACTGTAGTAGCATACCTAGATATTTTCTTTGGGAAAAATATATTTCTGCCACTTTTGGGCTATCTATCTATTTATCTATCTATCCATCCATCATCCATCCATGTATCTATATCTGTCTTTGCTGTATTATTTTTACAAATTCAACCATTTGTGACCCAACAAACTGAACCAAGCCCATCAACCTGTTTTAAAATAAATAATCTTTCCATTCCAGAAGTCCCAACTTTCCTAATTTCCATGCTGTTCAGCCCTGCTGCTAATTGTAATAGGGAAGTAATGATTTGCAGTAGGATCACTGGGGATCCCTGCTCCTTTCAAAAATTCTCCATTAAATTACTGTTTCTCCATTGTTGTTAGAAGCAGATGCCAGAAAATTGGAACAGGCTCATTGGGAATGAGAAATGATAAAGCTCTACTGTGTATATGCAGATATGTAGAGCCCTCAGCCCGATTCCATGTCTGGTTTGCAGACTAAAATATTTATTCAGAAGAAAATGGCTTTTGTAATTTGTCTGATGTGATTTTTAGGTGCAATGTTAGTTGAGGTGTCATAACTATTCTTCCTTTGCCATCACCAGAGTTGAAGGCACATGACCTCCTGCCTCCCATTCCTAAAATAGATTCACAAAAGCAGAAGACAGGACCTAATATCTTCATTCCTTTTGCCTGAAGCTGATGTTTTTGAGTGGCGGTTCTTCTGCCAGGAGTGGATGGGCTCAAATCAAACAGGATTCTAACACCTGCCTTTTTGGTCATGTAGAAACGAATAAAATCAATTTGTGCAAACTGTTTTGAAGGTGTCTGAATTCCCCAGTCAGCCATATTTCAAATGTTACCCTGCTTCTATAACATCTGAAAACAGTTCGGTGCTTGGGACTACACTCAAGAGTTTATAAACCTTTCCTACAATAGTTTCCCTTCAAACATTAGGGCTGCAATATAAAGAATACTACTTGTGTATCTAGCTGGCCATGATTTCTAGAACATCTGAGGCTACTTTAAATCAGCTACACCATCTGAACACTTCCGTTTATCTGAAATATTTATATTTGATGAAAGACCTCATCCCATCCAGGACATAGCACAGAAAGGTTGCTTGATCAGGGTCTGTAAGATTGCGTGGGACACTACCCATCCTCTTCACAATCTGTTTTCCTTGTTACCTTCTGGGAGGAGGCTCTGTGGTATCCGAAGCAGAACATCCAGATTCAGCCACAGTTTCGTTCCAGTCATTATTAACCTTGTGAACCCTCAAGCTTCCTCTTTCCGTTATATATTCAAGATGGACAGTGTTTAATATTCATATATTATGTATAAGTAGGGGTGTAGGTCTATACATATGTTGTATATAGTATGTATATGCTGTATATGTTTAGGTGTGTGTCATGTATGTGTTCACTTTGTGAGCAGGCAACTAAATTTCATTTTTGATGTGTGTCGTTGTGCCCACAGTAAAAAATTACAATAAAGGTTATCTTATCTAGTCTACAAGTCAATTGGGTTAAGGAAATGCTAGTTCTGAGGCTTACACAATTAACACAAAGTAATAGGAACCTGGAGGAACGTTGTCCATGGGGTCTCGATGGGTCGGACACAACTTTGCAATTAACAACAACAATGGGAAGTGAATACGGTGGGTGGGGACTTCTAACCCTTATTCTTAATTGCATCTGTTTTTATAAAAACTAGCTCTTATGAAAGGAAACTGTTCACAGTGTAAGCATCAGGTCCTGGTAGGTTTCCAAAGATATCCTTGTGATCTGACCTTCCCCAGAAGAACTTGGAGGTTTATCTGTCTCCAGTGTACAACACAGTCCTTTCAACAGTTCCAAGAAAGCTCCACACCATTTGCACTACTCTGGTGACCCTGACGACAGAGATAAACCTCCAAATGGCCTCAACAACTCTATAAAAGAATGCAAATGACCAGCTGCCTGCAAGGAGCATAAATTCTTCCATTCCCCACCATCCAGTCAGAGCCGAAGAAGCTTCTTGGATGAGAAGCGAAACATCTTCAAAGAACAACAAGAAAGTCCAGTTGCCTCGTGAAAAACCACCTCTGGACAACCATCATCTGGATGACTAAGAATCTCCATAGACATAAACTAGATTATAGGTCAGAATCCAATTATATTTCATCTCTAGTTATCGACTATGGAAAACCCCATTTCTTCCTTCTCTGGATTCTGTCACACTAGGAAGGGGAAGGGGGATGAGCAAAGGGGTTTTATGGCTCTCACTTCCTTCGTTACAACTTCAAAGGGACTGAATGTGGATAACACCAAAAGGACTGACCATAACAATAGGGCCCATCAGCTTTCATCTAATCCTCTCTGAAGTCTCCCTTCCGCCGGCCATGAGGAAAAAGGGGGTGGAAATGTAATGCCTGGGATTGTCGCTGGAAGGACGGTGGGGTTCTTGTGGAAAACAAAAGAACTCTTACGAATTCCAGAGGGGTTTAGCAGAGAGGTTTATTGCGCAGGTTCAGAGGCATATAGAAATAGGCAATTCTGAACAAGGAGGGCGGGATTAGACTTCAGTTTTTATACTACCCTTCTTTCAGGCACAAAGGGACTACACATGATAATACACTGTAATACATTTGGATCGTTTCTCACAGGCATACAATGGAAGGTTTTGCTACATACAAAGTATCCATGTGCAATGCGCATTTGGTTAGCCACATACTACTGACACAGAACTTTCCCAGTGAATTTTCCCAGTGATTACGCATTACATCATTATTCTAGCAATTATGCAGACACATCATTATTGCAGACAAATCATTATTCTAATAATTGTTCATTTTACTACATTAGGGTGGGGGGCTGCTTGGGAACACTTAAAACCTTGAATGGTAGGGGTGGCCCTCAGGTTCTGTCTAGAACGCCTGCAACCATTTTCTCTTAATAAAGATGCCCGTTGGAAGAAAAATTCCAAGAGTTCTATCTTCTTAAGATGCAAAGTGGGGTGGGTCCTTACATTATCTAGCACAGCTCCCATTAGACAGCTTTTCCCTGCAAGCCTGTGTAAAACAAAAATTAAGGTTCCAAGTTCATTGGAGATTCCACTGCAGGGGAAGCGTAGCTGCAGGGTTATCATCGCGCGGGAGAACACAAAACACCCAAAACGTTCCCACCGCAGAAAACAAAAGACCGGGACCCCAGTAACCGAGCCACCCAGAAGCAAGCCCCGCCCAGTCCTAGCCCCGCCCCCACCCCAATCGGTGAAGTCCCGAGAAAGCCTCCGCACGTGGCCGTATTTTATAATCGCCCCGCCCCCTTTTCTTCCCTCGCGAGCCAATCGAAAGTGGAAAGTCAGATGACGCGCCGGGTTGTTTTTTTTTTGTTTTTTAACGCCGTGGAGGCGGGGCTTCGCTTTGGGGGTTTGTCTCGCGCTGGCTTAAGGCGAAGGCGGGGTGGGAGGCGTACACAGTAAACGGAGTCCTGAGAGAGAGAGAGAGAGAGAGAGAGATAGTCTCCTTTAAAAAGAAAAGAAAAGAGGAAGGGGCGGGGAAAAAGAAGGATGAGAACCCGCGCGCCTAACGGCTACTAACCGCCCAACGCGCAACCTGCCGGAAGCGCAAGCGCCGAAAGAGGAGGGGGGGAGGAGGGAGGGAGAGGAGGAAAGAGACAGACACGCCCCCAGCTCGACGGCCGTCTCATTCCCGGCCAGGGAGCGCGGCGAGCGGTGGCTGCTGCGGAACCCTGCCGTACCTTCCCCCCCCCCTCCCTCCCCGTCTTCGTGCCGGCAGAAGAAACCCCGGAGGGAAGAAATGGCGTCCTCGCCGGTAGCGGCGAGTGCTGGGACGCCTCTCGACCTGTCCGGCGGGCGGCCGTCGCGGCTCGGGCGACTCCCGGCGGAGCTCTTCCGCTGCTGGGGCTGCTTCAGCTTCCTGGGCGAGCCGGTGACGGCGCCGTGCGGGCACACCTACTGCCGCCGCTGCCTCCGGGAGAGGCTTCACGCCCGCTGCCGCCGCTGCGGGGACCCGCTGGCGGGCGGCACCTCGGTCGCCGTGGTGCTGGCTCACTTGGCGGAGAAGTGGTTCCCGGCGGAGTGCGCCAGGGCTCGGACGTGGCGCCGCCTGGCCGATTTGCTCAAGCAGGGGCGGCCCCGCGAGGCTCGGGAAGCCGCCGACCAGGCGCTCCGAAAGGGTAAGGCGGCCGAGGCCCGCCGCCGACTTCCTTTTAGTAACCCTAACCCCCGCCCGGTGGCCTAAAATGCGTGGCGGGGCAGGTCGTGGATGGGGGGTGTGTGTGTGGGAGACGGCAGATTAGAGCAGTGTTTCTCAACCTTGACAATTTTAAGGCATGTGGACTTCAACTCCCAGAATTCCACAGCCAGCAATGCTGGCTGTGGAATTCTGGGAGTTGAAGTCCACATGCTGTTTCTCAACCTTGACCATTTTAAGGCATGTGGACTTCAACTCCCAGAATTCCACAGCCAGCATTGCTGGCTGTGGAATTCTGGGAGTTGAAGTCCACATGCCTTAAAATGGTCAAGGTTGAGAAACACTGGATTAGAGCTTGCAAAGACTGCAGCCTCGGAGGCTTCGTGCCTGCGGCGACCCGGACGTTGGGGATCCCCGAGCTTCTGGAAGTCCAAAGGATTCCTCGGATTACGTTGTGTAATGAAACGCGTCCTCTGCTCTCCTTCTGCCCTGGAAAGTCGACGCTAGTTTTTCAGGGAAAGTATCTACAGCAGTGTTTCTCAACCTTGGCAACTTTACGATGTATGGACTAGCTGGAGAATTCTGGGAGTTGAAGTCCACACATCGTAAAGTTGCCAAGGTTGAGAAACACTGATCTACAGTAAATCAAATTTCAAACCATCCTAGGTTTCTCAGATGCCAGTATTTTTACTGGCTGCTGTAGGTTTTAGACGGGAAACGAATAAACCCACCGGATTTTTTTTCTTTTCTTAATATATAAGGATAGAAAGGCTGATCATAATTTGCCGGGTGGGCTGAAACGGCTTGCTGGCTTAGCAATAGCACAGTTGTTTTGTACTTGGCTGTATACAATTCTGCAGAAGATACAGAAGTTGGCTGTACTCTTATTTCCTTATAGGAACAGGTTGGGGGGGAAGTTTAGTTAGAGGCATTCTTTAGGGCAGTGGTTCTCAACCTTTTTAATGCCGTGACCCCCAACCGGTCGTAAGTCGAGGACTACACCGGTCGTAAGTCAAAGACTAAACCGGTCGTAAGTCGAGGACTACCCAACCATTCGTAAGTCGAGGACTTTCCCTGCCCGGGAGCACCGTGCATGCGTGGTTCCGCCCCCTGCGCCGGCCGAGGCGTAGCTGGCAAGCGGCAGAGATGGAGCAGGCTGACCACCAGCTGGCCCAGCTCAAGGGAGGTAAGGCTCCCACCGGAAAAGAGGGAAAAAATGGCGGACAGCCTTGCTTGGCAACCCCTGTGAAATGGTCGATTGACCCCAAATGGGGTCGCGACCCATAGGTTGAGAACCGCTGCTTTAGGGTGTAGCAGCTAAGAAGTAGGTTTACTTTGTGCCCTTATTTTCTAGAGACAGGAAACAGCTGTCATATTTCAAAAGTCATCTTCAGAATTTATGCACTCTTAAGGAAATCTTTAGAAGATGGACAAGCTAATATGTTTTAGGGAACGGCTTGAAAATGCTTTCATGCACCTGTTTGGAGGAATATGAATCACTCTGGACCTAGTAATTTTAGGGAAAGGAAGAGTGTATGCAGCCGCCTCCAAGGGTTAAGATAATTCACCTGCTGGTGCTGGTTGCATAAGGAAATGTGGGCGTGGAAGGGGAAATATTGTATAATATTGGTGATATCATAGATAAGCAGACAGGGCTTTCACAACACATTGCTGCGAGAAGACTTATATATACCAAGGTCGAGAGATTAGTGTAATTCAGTTAGCACCTTAGCGCACTCTTAACTAGTAAGTACTTACAGTGCAATGTGAAAAATATAAAGGATAGTTAATTATATTGCTTTATTTCCATATACGTATGGACTGGTAGCCATCACGACACTAAATCTGTCCAATTGTTTTTCTGATAATTTCTCATACTACAGATTATGTGCACACATGTAAAACATCCTTATTCTTTTATTAATATTGTTCAGCTTTTATTTTGTACTTAAGATTCTACGAGCTTCTTATTGCAATTTTCTAAAATGAAAACATGCAGGAAAAGAAACAATTTAATCAGTTTAGCATAGTTTCAGGTTTGAAATTTGAAACCAGATTTCTTCATATTGAGGGAAAGATCTTTTATACTTGATCATTTTGTCAAGGAACTCATTTAATATATATGAATTGCAAAACATTAATAAACATTCAATTCTGGGCATTTATATGTCTTATAAAGGATGATTCCGAGTGTCTGATACAACTATTAGATAATGAGATGTGGAAATAGCTGCAGTAAAAGTCTGCAGTCTGACTTAATATGCATGGAGCAGAGTAGCAGTAAACTAATGCAAAAGCATAGGGGTCCCCAACCCCTGGTCCATGGACCAGCACCGGTCCCCAGTATGCCAGTAAGCGGGCTGCACAAACAAGCAAAGCTCCATCCTCGGGATATGGGTAGTGTTCAAAACCATACCCCCTCTGGTCCACGGAAAAACCTTTCTCCATTGCACCGGTCCTTGGTGCTCAAAAGGTTGGGGACCTCTGCTATAAGTTATTTATGTAAAAGTTTAATACAATAGAATATAATTTTAAAATGCACCTTGTTTATATAATGTAGCATAAGACTTTATTAACAGAAGTTGTAAACTCCAGGTCTTAAGAGATCAGTTATAAGGGACTTCAGCTATACTTGTTTTAAATACTTTTTCTTACTGTGCGTTAACAAATTTTATAAAATATTTGGAAAACATCTGTAGCGATAATTTTTAAAAAATATTTAGATTCAAAATGTGAGCAATAAAGCCTTATGACAGTTTTAAAAATTGCTGCAAATTATTGACTAAAGTTGTGTTACCAAGACAGCAATTATATAACTTTGGTGTGCTGCCTTTGCACTGCTTTCCTCATATAGAATCATTAACTTGAATGCAGATTTTGATGTAACCTTATCAGAAAAATGTTTGAATATTAATGTAATTTCATTTCCCCCTCATGGTTACCCATACATTACAAAAGAGATAAAAATACTTAATCCAGTAATGTAATTGATTATGCAATAAGTTCAGTTTGGAAAAATGAACAAAATAGCTTTTTAAAAAAAATTTGTAAATGTATTTAAGTTGCTTTTAAACCCTATTTTTTTTTTTAAAAAAAAGTCTTGTGCCTCTTACAATTAGCACTCGAGGGTTCTTTTAAAATTATATGCTTTTGTTTTTTACAGTGTCACAACTTCAGGTGACATTGGAGATACAATTATATAGCATGGTTCTTTCCTAACTTACTTCCCTGCCATAAGCAAATGGCCTTTAAAATGAAGATTAGTAAACCTTTGATCAAAAGTTGCATTGATTTTGGCTGTTCTTTTTTATATTTGTAAGTAATTGTTTTATGGAACTATTAGTTACAAAATGTACTGCTGGGGGAAAAAAAACCAAAAGCATTGAATTATGCTCTCTTTGCTTTTTAGCACATTAAGAAATATATTTACATAAGATCTTATGTAAATTACATGAGAAATTTACTTAAATCAAGGTATTGCTATTTATGTTAAAATTTATGAAGCCCCATGACCTAAACTCTGTTGTACTTTCAGAATTATATTACAGCTACCTAAAGTGGTATTGAAATAGCTTTCATAAATTTCTTATCAGCATATATACAATATTTAATTATGCTACCTTCTTTAGTATCAATCCCTATACAAATAGTTGTCAAAATGTTGGTAATCTATCTTCTTAAGTCATAGAAGCATTTTCCTGCACGATTATCTTACCATTTGAATATGTTTTCTAGGTTTATATTACTTTTTATTATTTTTCCTCACAGGTGCAAGGCTGCTTTTCAGATCAATCAAATGTTGATCCAGTGGGTGTGATAGGGATTGTCACCCAAGCCTGACATCATGGGCTAAGAGAGAGAGTGACTGGCCCAAAGTCACTTAGCCTAAGGAGGGACTAGAACTCACTGTCTCCTGGTTTCTAATGGGGTGCCTTAACTACTAGATCAAATTAGCTCTCTATGTTTATATTACATACTGTATGCTGTTTAAATTACAGAGTTTTATAATTGGGTTCAGTGAACTGCATTCTAAATATGTGTGTGTATTTCTTTTAGATCCCAGTGATTTAATGTTAAGAATTTACAGAGCTGAATCTTATGCTAGTCTCCAGGAATTTAAATCTGCACTAGATGAACTGAATGCTGTTACTGCTAAAATGCCAAATTGGCCTGAGGTAAGAATAAACCTAAAATGAAGTTACTTATTTAGCATAGGTTTCTTATTTTTCATAATGTATCAGAGAGGCCAACATAAGAAATAATAAATTATGCCCAAAAGTATTTCTGATTTTGTTTTGTTGGGGATTTTTTAATTTGTTTTTTAAAGTAAGTATAATGCATATTTCTTGGAAAATATCTGTATCATTGCTGCCATTCTGTAGGATGCAAAAACGTTGCCCAGTATGGGTTTCAAACTTTTTCAGGCTGCAAGGATCTGCAGGTTAAAGGGGAAAAAAGAAATTCCAGAGCCCCAGATCAAAGTTCTAGTGATGAAAATGGCTGTATTTAAATCAACTTTTTTTTAACCTGTAAGTCTCTCATGGAATTTCACCAACTTTTTCATCAAGGGCTCCAGGATTTTTTGTTTGTTTGTTTAATATACAGGTCCCTGCAGCCTGAAAAAATTTGAAACGCATACTCTTGGCAACATTTTCTGGGTCCTACAGAAATAATGGCAATGATACAAATCTTGTACAGGTTAGATAATGAAATAATATAGTCAGATAACCAACCCATGGATTAGAGAATCTGCCTCTTTTCCTGGAAGCAGTCATAGAATACAATACAGATAATTGAACAAACTATGTTGCATTACATTCTTGATTAAATTATCTTTCCATTGATATCTAATTTTATGGTACTACTAAAAAAAAAGGTGTTGTTAGCCATCAAACTTCAAAAATACACTTTTCCCAAAAGGTTTCCACAATTTTGGTCACTACTGTATATTATATTGGAAAATTCAAAAGGTCGTGCTTTGACAGGAAACTTGCAAATATTCTGTTTCCTCTCTGGTGTATAGGCTATATATTCTCATTTCATGGCAATAACAGGAATTTTAGTTGATATGTCAGACACATCTGCCTGAAATGGTATACAAAGGGCAGTTACATGTGGTCATGAACTGTTATATCTGATGTGAATGTACTTTTAAATTATGTATCCAAAATTTATACATATCACTATATGAAGAACTATAGTTTCATTTATCATGGAGTAAACCTGTGTTACTGTTCTGTACTGGAAAGAAAACATATACAGTTCAGATATAGAACCTTAGATACACAGTATACAGTATATTCAGTTCCTGTTTCTGAAATGGCTATCAATTGATGTACTGGAAAGATCCACTAGTATTATTCCATGTGATCAGGATTTAATGATAAGTTTCATAAGACAAAATTTATATCATTGCTGTGCCTTATTTATAAATCGTGGATGAAACCAACAAAAACCAAACATGTTAAAACTACATTATTAAATGGATGCAGAATTTCAATATAATAATTGATATGCAGCAGTGGAAATTTTATTGGAAGAAAAAAAATACCCTAAATGTTATACTTAGACAGCACTTATATAAGATATTTTATCACTGGTATATTTTTCTGGTACTGGATTGATAAAATGGAGAGTTCATTTTCAGAAATAGTTGGAAACTAATGGCTGTGTTGAATTGTTTTGCTGTAGCTGCTGGCAATGAGGTTAAAGCTCAACAATTTGGGGAATTATTTTTAATAAAATAAATTTAAGAAGCTCAATTTCCAACATGCTAATTTTAAAATAAATATCACTAAACCTGATATTCAAACAAAATGTACCAAATTTATATGTAGTAAATGTTGTAATGATACTGTAAGTTTCTTATTGGAACCCAGTTCCTTCTGCAGAAAAATGCTAATTAAGCCCTGTGAGTATACTATAATATCCAGAATAAATTTGTATTACAAATGTAAATCTGATACAGAATTTAATTCAAGTTGGAAACCATTTTGGGATTATAATAGCTTGTATCACATCTGAAATTTTGGTTTCAATGTAAAGTCTTCAATTACTGGATAGAAAGCACTGTAATACTTAATCTCATTTTTTTAAAATTTATCTGCATTAATTATTGCTATTGATATTTATATTACTCGGATTGTCAGTGATTTGTAATTTTTAAAATAATATAGTGTAATCTGTTATTAAAAACTAATCAATGAAATATTTAAAATGTAATACTATTATTCTTGTATATTCACTGTTTATCCACTTTATGCTTTATTTTCCTTCTTACCTTTTCTTAAAATGCTTAGTAAAATAAAGCAGATGTAATTATATATTTTAAAACTGCACTAAAATATTTCCTTTATAAGTAATGTACTATATTATTGTTTTCTGTTAGCTTCGTGTATGTGTGGTTTATTTTAGTTCTAGTTTTAACATCAGGGAATCTACCAATGTTTTTAAAAACAAACAGCCTACTAACAGGCAGTAATAGTAGCTTCAGAAAAAGCATGCTTGGGATTAGGTTTGTACAGTAAATTCAGTCACAATAAATGTGTCTTATATTAATACATAAAATCATCTTGCAGGTATATTTCAGAAGAGCAACAATACTTAATAACGCTGGTTCTGTAGAAGACGCCTTAAAAGTCTTTCTTCATTGCCTATCCCTTGACGAAGGATTTGTTTTAGCAAAAGTAGAAGCAAAAAAGGTACTTAAACATTCTTATAATAGCTTTTCTGGCCAGACTTATTTTTGTTTAAGAAATTAGATTGGAAAAGAAGCAGACTGAAAATAATAATAAAATAGAGATTTTCATGCTGTTGGGATAGGGAATGGTTTTAAGGGAAATTTTTTATAAGAGTCCAAGAAATGTATTTAAGCTACCAAAATCTAGGAATTAAATTATCTGTATCACACAATAGACTCTAGGAGTTACATGAGGACCATAGAATAATGTTATGCAACTACTGCTTTCATTTTAATCAATGTTATAGATAACTGCTATTCAAACAAAATGTGATCAGAAAATTCTAACTATAAAACTATGTGTGGTTTCAAAGCAGAAGAGTAACATTAGGATAAATAATTGTTGGTTACTTTGAGACTTCTTTCAGATTGTGGGAGAATGATGAGCTATTTAATGTCTAAATATTGGGACAATATTAAAGAAATCTATTTACGTTAGGTACTGTATGAAGTGTAATAGTCATTATATTTTATTCCTTAATGTCAATTTTATAGATATTGCGTAATTTGCTGTCACCTGAAAACATTAGTGAAAGGTTGAAAGAATCTGCTTTAAATACTTCATATGTTCGAAGTAAACAACTTAAACTCAGCTCTGCATTTGAAATGGAAGAGTCTTGTGATTGTTTACAGCTCACCCCAGTGTCAGTAAGTAAATATTCTCATGCAAAATAATTATGAAGATCACTGGAACCAGTTTCAGATGTGTGTTCCACATATCTGTTTGTGTCTTGAAAATGTTTTAATGCTGATTAACTGAAGTTCAGTATGTCAGTTAATTAAAATGGTCAGTATATAAGTTCAAATAAATAAAGATAGAATACTGAAAACTGAATCTGTTAGTAGAATATTAGTTATTTTTTCATTATAAAAAAATGTAGAGGATAGGTTGAATTTTGTTTTTTAATCTTTTCTGATAGGTCTCAGAAGTGCCACAAGTTACATTAGACACTATTGGAGGAAGTTTGCAACGTGCCCAGTCTGCAAATTCTCTTGATTCAGTAGAAAAAGATGCCAAAGACGATATATTAAAAAGAGTATCTTCTGAACCATGGCTTTCTGGCCAAGAGAAAGGTATTTATTTTAAAAGGAGGTTGCCCTTTTCCAAACAAAATACTACTATTTGTGAAGATGGAAACAAAGAAAATAAATATTTAGTCTTGTGTATTGTTTTATGAGTTATGCTCTATTTCATGTTTTAATTTGTTTAGAAACTCCAAAAGGGAATGCTACCTTTTCAATCACTTGTGGAATAGTTCCAGAAAATTTGGTTGATGTAACAGACTTTGAATGCTCATTGTGTTTGAGGTAATACAGTCTGATTTCAACATTTATGATCTTTTTTATCATACTGTAGCATTGCTTAAAGGAAGTTTTAATATTAAACTCATGCACAGAAGCTACTAACATCATTTCTTCATGAAAATGTTCTCATGATTTCTTCAAAATCCCTTAAGACTGCAAAATAAGGTTTCAGGCTATTTAAATAAGCTCTAATTAGACTTCTTTAAAATTAGCTTATTGTAGGACTGGGTGGCCTCAGAGATAATTTTTTAGTAGCATTAGTCTTCAGAATGACACTCATAAATAATACTAGCATACTCTCCACCTATTTTTTTTAGCTTGAAATGAAAGAAAATTGGCTTAATACATATATAAATGTTTCCTGTTTCTGACTTTCATTACTGGAGAGCCAGTTTGGGATAGTGGTTAAGGCATCAGGCTAGAAATTGGGCCATGGCAAATCACTTCTGAATTCTTACTAAGGAAACTGGAGGGGCTTGTACAGGGAGCCTCCAGGAATTGGCACTGACTCAAGGCACAAATAAATAAAGTATAATAAAATAAAAATGCTAGTTGAAATGTTCCCTGTCTCTTACTACTAAATGCAGGTTGTCCTCGACTTATAACAGTTGGTTTAGTGACCATCCAAAGTTACAACAGCACTGAATAAAGTAACTTAGGATCAGTTTTTCACACGACCGTTGCAGCATCCCCATGGTCACATGATCAAAATGCTGATGCTTGACAGCTGACTCATATTTATGACGGTTGCACTGTCCCTGGTTCACCTTTTGTGATCTTCTGACAAATAAAGTCAATGAGGAAGCCAGATTCACTTAACAACTGTGTGCCTAACTTAAGAAATGTAGTGATTCTATGGCAAGAAAGGTCGTAAAATGAGGCAAAACCCACTTAACAAATGCCTTGCTTAGCAAAAGCAACGTTAGGCTCAATTGTGGTGATAACTTGAGGACTACCTTTGCTAACCGTTTTTGTGTGCAGCCTTCAAGTTACTTTCTTCTGATTCATTTGTATTTGAATCATAATGGTAATTCACTAAAACTCGCAACCTTTTTTTCAGGCTTTTCCTTCATCCTGTGACAACGCCCTGTGGCCATACATTCTGCAAGAACTGTTTACAACGCTGTTTGGACCATGCTCCAGAATGTCCCCTCTGTAAAGATAACTTAAAAGAGGTAATGCTTTTTATGAACGTTTATAAGAGGCTTCTGTCATAAAGCAAAGTTTGAATCAAAAGCTGAAAAACACTGGTGGAATTGTAATAACCTTTTGTTCTGTGAGTGGAAATGGCTGCTATTTGCAACATTTTCCTCTTAAAAATGCAAGAAAGGCTGTAGATTAATGTAAAAAAGCCCTTATTTCTGACGTTTCCTCAAGATCTCATCGTATTTTAAGAATCTCCAAAATCGGTTTTAACATGTAAGAATTTTATTACAGTTATTATTTTAAATATATAAAAATGAGTAACTGCATAGTAAAATATCATTGATTTTTAGTTATGAACTGACTTACATCTATATAAATAAAAATGTAAATGTTCATTTGTTCAAAATCTTAACTCTCCGAAAGTTCTTCACCGATTGCTTTGAAATTTTGACACAACGCTGCATTCGAATATGTGCGTGTTTTTATATACCCATATTATATAGATGTCACACGTGTGACAGGTAAAAACATGCTTTTTTTAAAAAAACAGCGCCATCTGTTGGACGTAAAAGCAACACACGCTTTTACCAGACTGAGCCACAGCAATGCGTGGCTGGGTACAGCTAGTCTTTTTCATAAAATTGGGGAATTACTAGCAAGAGTTAACAGAGTTTCTCAGCATGGGAACATTTCATTAAAAGAGATTATATCCTATTTCCAGTTAATGCCAGTGTTGCTTAATTCAGATATTGCTTGAGCACTGTGTATTACTATGCAGTGGTGCATGTATAGTAAAAGCAAGTGCCTAGGAACACATAGGTACCAGGAACCCAACCAGACCTCCAAACATTAAAAGAATTAGTGGTTGGCTGCAGGACTTGCATGCATACCCATAAAGGAATCTAATTTGCCTCAGAAGGAGTGATAGATGGCAGGCAGAGATGGCAGATTGCCGACTGCCAGTACCATTTTATTTCTGACAAGAGTATCTGACGTTTGTTATGGACCACCACTGCTGCTATTATTTCCTTACATGCAAGAGCTGTTTATATATGTAAGCCCTGGGCACCAGAACAGACTTTTGACAAGTGAAAGGAGAGACAATGATTGCTATTTTTGTGAATTTCTAAAAAAAGGGCAAGGAAGTGCTGGACCATGAGTTTCTTGATTGCAAAACTAGTCAGGTGAAAGGACAATTATGCTTAGGAGACACCCACACCCACGGTGAAAATTCACTCTCTCTCTCTCTTTCATGTATCATTATACTGAAGTTCAGTATGGTCAGCTGTTTTCTGCTTAATTCTTCGAAACTGAATTAGAATTCTTTATTGGCCAAGTGTAATTGGACACACAAGGAATACTCAGTGATAGTCATAGGATGCTAAATAAAAGCAATCAACATAAATCATAAGATACAACAACAAAGTGGTAGTCATAAGATGCTAAAGGAATAGGTAATAGGAAAGATATAATAGTAAAGATAGGAAAAATAGGAAATGGTATGAAACCAAAAAAGCCTGCAGTTTTTATGTAAAAAATTATAATGGCTTAACAATTTATGTTTCATTTAGTTTTTGGCACGTAAGGAATACAGCACAACACAGTTGCTAGAAGAACTAATAGTGAAGTATTTACCTACTGAATTATCCGAGAGAAAAAGAATTAATGATGAAGAAATAGCTGAACTTTCAAGGTATGTGTGTGTGTGCATATGCATTTGTATATAATAAAGCTTGTTAACAGACATTTAGAACAAAGACTAAACTGTCTGGGAACAGTAATCATACATAATTTTATGTAAATCTTTGCTACAAAACCAAACTGAAAAATTCTAGTAATTAAAACATCCATGTTCCATTTATACAGTTAAGTGGAATAAGATTTTCTTAACACTCCTTATTTATATTATTACTAGCTGTACCCAGCCACGCGTTGCTGTGGCTCAGTCTGGTAAAAGCATGTGTTGCTTTTACGTCCAACAGATGGCGCTGTTTTTTTTAAAAAAAGCATGTTTTTACCTATCACAGGTGTGACATCTATATAATATAGGTATATAAAAACGCGTGCGTATTCGAATGCAACGTTGTGTCAAAATTTCAAAGCAATCGGTGAAGAACTTTCGGAGATTTAAGATTTTGAACAAACGAACATTTACATTTTTATTTATATAGATGTTAACTATAAGACTTTTGTTCAGTTACTGAAAGGGTTTGTAATTATATAAATATGCAGGAGACTATGCAGAAAATATCACTTATGTATTTAATATGAAAAATAGTGCTATCTGTAATTTCACAAGTTGGATGATAGTCCATTTTTAGCCACAATTGTGCTTTGGACTAGTGGTCCAGTCACTTTGAAGAGAATGCACAAGGATATAATGTAATGCTGGGGGAAAGGATATTTCTGAGGAATTTGATATCTTGAGTTAAATCTTCCTGTGTGGGTAGAATTCTAATTTCAACTTTATTTTCTGCATTCTGTTTGAAGTTTGACCAAGAATGCTCCTATCTTTGTTTGCACTTTGGCCTACCCAACTGTGCCTTGCCCCCTCCATGTGTTTGAACCAAGATATAGACTGATGATTCGAAGAAGTATAGAAACTGGAACAAAACAATTTGGGATGTGTGTACATGACCCCCAAAATGGGTAGGTTTATATTCAAAATCACAAAATTAAAATGTCTACAATATTTTAAAGCTGGCCATTGACCACAGTGCCCTTTCTTCTAGATTTGCAGATTATGGTTGCATGTTGTACATTAGAAATCTTGACTACCTGCCAGATGGACGATCTGTTGTTGATACAATTGGATTAAAGAGATTCCGAGTTATTCGAAGAGGGATGAAGGATGGTTATTGCACTGCAGACATTGAGGATTTAGAAGATATAAAGGTACATAAAATGTCTAATTTTTGACTCTACAAGAAGACACCTTGAATATTGCAGCCCTAGTCCAATGTGCAGCAGTCACTTAGTTTGATAGGAGGAGGGGAGAGATTCTTGCAGTGAATGACAATATATAGAATTCCACTTAGATCCTATGTTAGTAAATTATTTATTTAATTTATTGTTCATAGAGGACAGAGATTCTTAAATATTTTGTGCCACAGATCCCTTTGAGGATTTGTGAAAGGTATAGATATCTCAGAAACATGTATTTAAATAAATATAAAATGCATAAATATAGATCACATTGCAAAGGAAACCAATTATGCTCAAATATAGATATCAAAATATTAACAAATATACAGTACAGTAATTACGTGCTTCTTTGTTAATTATCTATTAAACCAGTAACAAGATAGTATTCTTTTTTAGGATATAATAATTTTTGATGGTGACATTTATTGCACATTTTTGGAGTCTAAAGGCCGTATGTTGTTTTGTTGCCTACATATATTTTTGAATTGAAAGCTACATTTCAGTTCAAGAAAATTGAGGAAGCAATAAACCAGCTGAGTCAAAACAATGAAAGTATACAGCCTTGTCCTGGAGCAGATCATCTTACCCTATCTCAGGGCCTGCTGAAAGGGCCATGTTTTTATAGCAGTGTTGAAGCCTTATGGTGCCCCAGGGGGAAACACTGTTCCACAGGGTAGGTGCAGCTGCAGAGAAGACAGGTCTCTAGGTCAGGGCTTTTCAACCTTTTCACCGATTGTACCACTTTTAGGATATGGCAATATTCGAGTACCATCTAGCAAGGTGTCAAAAACTTGATGACCAAAAAAACCCCACCCCTGTTCAAAGTTGCAATTGCACTGAAATGACTTATGACCATTTCTCGCACTTATGACCATTGCAGCCTGCCCAGGGTCATGTGATTTATATTTGGATGCTTGGCAACTGATTCATTTTTATGATGGTCACAGTGTCCCAGGCTCATGTGATCCCCTTTTGACAAGCAAAGTCAATGGCAGGGCTGCTGGTGGCCAAGTGCTAAGGCAGGACTTCCTTCCCTTCCTCCCTTCCCTGCCTCCCTCTTTCTCATTCCCATCTCCTTATGAAGGAAGAATTTGAAACGCACGCCCCCCCCATATTTTCCCTCTTCCATATATTCATCAAACAAGGAAAAGCCTCCAGAGACAGAAAAGACAAGCTGCTGAGTGAACTAGCTTAAAAAGGCACATTCCCCTTTAAGAATTAGCTACTGTCTAGAAAGGAAAGTTAATAAGTGCAGCCGGCACTTAAGGAAGAAAAATAAATGTAAGGACTGGCTGCCGGCTAAGGCAGCCTCCCCAAATGGCTCCATTCATAAGTCAATTTTGCTACAGGCAAAATTCATTCAGGAGAAAAATACTTCAAAATCCCTTGCAGCAAAACTTACAGCTATAGCAGAGCAATAGAAGCTAACAAGAGACATCAGCCATCAGCCAAATAGAAATTGCCAAACACTCCTTAAGAACACAAGCCCACATTGCACAAATCCCAGAACTTCAAAATCACAAAAGCACATAAGAATCCTTCCACTCAGAGCCATCTCCCTCCCTCCGTGCCTCACCTCCAGCTGATGCTGCTTTCTTCATTGCTGCCTTTCTTCATTCCTCGTGGAGGGCGATCCTTTCCCCGCTGCATTTCTTGCCTGTTTGTTGTTGCCAGCACAGGTGACTGCCACAGAAATTGTAGATCCGCTCATGGCCGGCCTGCTTGATCTCTCCTCTCCCCCCACCCTCCTCCTCCTTCTTTCCCTTCAGTGCAGCTAGAGCTGACTCCGCCTCCTCCCAGGGCTGCTTCTTTTTCTCTCTCTCCCTCTCCCGCCCAAACTGCTTCCTTTTATAGCCTCTCCTGTCTCCACCCCCTCCTCGTCTCTCTTCCGGGTGAGCTGGAAGTGAGCCTGGGGCCTTTGCCTAGCCCCAGCCACTCTGCAGCTCCGGAGGACTCTCTCACAGTAAGTCCTGTGCTGCGCTGGCTTGTTCTCTCCCCCACTACACTTGGCTGGGCAGGGCCACATGCCACCTGCCACATGCTAATGTACCATAGGTGGTATGCATACCACCGGTTGAAAAGCCTTGTCCTAGGTGTCACTGGATGACAGTGCTTTTACACCTGGTATCAATTGTTTTAATTGTTTTGGTTTTTATGTTTTATGATGTACACTGCCCAGAGTCACTCGTTGACATGGGTAGCTATGGAGATCAAACAAAGCTGGAATACGCCAAGCTCTACTTAGTCTTATAGTATAGGCAATAAGAGCAGAAAGATAGATGTGTAGCTAAACAGGCAAAAGGGACCAACACCTTGAATCACACCAGAAAACCTGCCACTAGCCAGTACAGCTCACAAAGCTGAGATGTGACATGAACAAACATGGGGACTTCTCAACTAACTCATTAGCTACATTTTGGCCAAATTAGCTTACGAGTGATCTTTAAGAGAGTAATCTAGTGCAGCGGTCCCCAACTTTTTTGACATGGGGAGGGAATGGTTTCAGTTTCGCTTGCTCGCTCACCTCCAGCTGTGTGGCCCGGTTCCTAACAGCATGGTTCCGTGGCCTGGGGGTTGGGGACCCTGATCAACTGTACAAAGCAATAATACAACCAGGAGGTGACTCAGCCATGAATAACTTGTGTGAAAGGCCTTACAATCCAGGGTTCTTTTTATTAAAAATAATAATAAAGAGAATTAGCATGCTGCAAAGTAAAGCAGCAGCCTGAGATATTCTTATCTCTCAAAACGCTGTTTCATTTTTGTTGGGACCAAGTAGATTATTTAGATCAGTGGTTCTCAACCTTTTTAATGCCGCGACCCCCAACCGGTCGTAAGTTGAGGACTAAACCGGTCGTAAGTCGAGGACTAAACCGGTCGTCAGTCGAGGACTAAACCGGTCGTCAGTCGAAGACTACCCAACTGGTCGTAAGTTGAGGACTTTCCCTGCCCGGGAGCGCTGTGCATGCGTGGTTCCGCCCCCTGCGCCGGCCGAGGCATAGCTGGCAAGCGGCAGAGACGGAGCAGGCCGACCACCAGCTGGCCCAGCTCAAGGGAGGTAAGGCACCCGCCGGAAAAGGGAAAAAATGGCGGACAGCCTTGCTTGGCGACCCCCGTGAAATGGTCGATTGACCCCAAATGGGGTCGCGACCCATAGGTTGAGAACCGCTGATTTAGATGTTCCTTAAGAAATCATGGAAAGAGATTCTATAGGGTATTATAAGATCCTTCTTGGCTACAACAACCAGATCTTTTACTCGTTTGAAACTGTACAGGTAGTTTTTGACTTATGACTATAATTGAGCCCAACATTTTGTTGCTAAGCTAAGTGAGTTGTTAAATGAGTTTTGCCCCATTTTATGACCTATCTTGCTACATTAGCTGTAATGGCACAGTGGTTAGAATGCAGTACTTGCAGGCTAATTCTGCTGACTTCTGGCTGCCAGCAGTTCCGCAGTTTGATTCTCACTGGCTCAAGGTTGACTCAGCCTTCCATCTTTCCGCGGTTGGTAAAATGGAGACTCAGATTGTTGGAGGCAATAGGCTGACTCTGTAAACTGCTTTGAGAGGGCTGTAAAGCCCTATGAAGTGGTATATAAGTGCTATTGCTATAGTTACAGTTGTGAACCACTGCAGTTGTTAATTTAGTAACATGGTTGTTAAGTGAATCTGACTTCCCCATTGACTTTGCTGGTCAGGTCACAAAAGGTGATCACATGACTCCGGGACCCTGCAACCGTCATAAATATACGCCAGTTGCCAAGTGCCTGAATTTTGATCATGTGACCATTTACTGCAACAGTTATAAGTGTGAAAAATGGTCATATGCCACTTTTTTCAGTGTTATTGTATCTTTACATTAAATGTAAGTCATTAAATGTAAGTCGAGGACTACCTGTATTGTTAATTTTAGTAACACAAATTAATGTAGACTATAGAAACAGAGAGAGAGAGAGAGAGAGTCCTTGAGTTATGATGGCAATTGGAACTGAAATTTCTATCGCTAAGAAATGTGGTCATAAATAGTAATATCACATGACCACATTGTTTACGACAACCATTCCAGCAATCCTGGTTGCCATCACTGAACAAAGGACCACTTGGGGTTTTAAGCACGGATGTCACATGATTGTGACTACTTCCTCATTGACTTGGCTTGTGGGAAGCCAACAGAGAACATTGGAAATCACAGTCATGTGAACCCAGTTCACTACAACATTGTGAGTCAGGTGCCAAGTGCTGTGATCATGGTTGCAGGGATGCTGGGAGAGCCAGAATTTTAAGGACAAGTCAGAAGGATCATTTGTTCAGCACCATCACAGGTAAAATGAATGATTATAACCTGAGGACTTAACCTTTTCCAATGATATTGTGTTTCAAAATACAATAACTATTTAACTTAAACAAAGTTAAGGTTCACATTTCTCTGTATTAAATAAAGGATGAAACTTTATGTTGATGAGAAAATGTTTCAACTTTAATACCACTTTTTTCACTTCAGAAATATTTTTACTGGATTATTGTGTAGGGGATACTCAGGCTTTGTTTTTTGAATATTCTTCAAAATCAAATTTGTTTAAAGTTCAACTTAATTTTGGGACACTAACCTGGACCAGTTATTATTACTACAAATAGCTAGTTCAGCTAGAAGATTGTTCTTCACATTGAACTGGTTACTTAGTCCCTAGTAACAAATGAAGAAATCATTTATTACTAGGGTGTCAAGTAACCAGTTCAATGTGAAGAACAATCTCTAGCTGAATAGCTATTTGTAGTAATAATAACTGGTCTAGGTTGGTCTTATATTATTAACTGTAGCATTACTATTACGTAAAATAGACATTCTGAATTTTATATATTTAGATAGATAGATAGATAGATAGATAGATAGATAGATAGATAGATAGATAGATAGATAGATAGATAGATAGATAGATAGATAGATAGATAGATAGATAGATAGATAGATAGATAGATAGACAGACAGACAGACAGATCGATATAGATAGATAGACAGACAGACAGACATACAGACATACAGACAGACAGATAGATATAAAAAGAGTCATTTTGACATGCCCTTCCACCCAAATCTTTCAGTTCTTACTCTTTTAATGGGGAGTTAGATTCCTCTCCATTCTGTACAATTTATCTCAGGAATCCTACTGAGAGGTGTTTTGATTTAAAATTGGGTAATAGGTTTTTTTTATTGGGTCATCACAGACCCCATCACTACTCTTAGAAATTAAAAATAATGGCCAGTTGTACTGGCTGATGCTTTGCCATTAAATTTATTCATCTACCTGTAAAAAAGTCAAATTTATGCAGAAATAGTAGATGGTGCTTTAAGAGTTATATGGAAATGTTAGCAAATAATTTTGGTATTTTTTTCTGGTAAAATGCAGTTTTTCACAGGCTATATCCTCCATGAATCAATTTATAAGTGAAGCTACCATACTTCCAAAATTTCTAAAGTATGTTCTGTCCTAAAAGTGTTAGGGAATCTTGTTGTATCATGTTATTCACTGTGGAATTCCTTTGTAGGCAAGACCTCATTTTTTATGGCACTTTTATGCCTTTCCGTTTATCTCCTTCGCATGTTTTCATAATATAATCCTAGTGCACAGGGAACACTGACTCTCAACTGCTCAGCTGAATTTAAAGTTTTATCAAACTGACCTCTGAATAAGGAGTTAGCCATGGCCCAGTAATGACTAACTGTTGCTAAGTGAATTCAGGAAAGGCATTCAGAAACCAGTTGAGAAAGGAATAGTTGGAAAATACTGCTTAAGCCAATAAATAGCTCATTCTCAGTTCCCAAAGCTTCGAATGATTGACCACACCAACTTTGTTTGTGCATCCTACTTGCTGGTATTTTGAGCTGCCTGGTAATTCACACACACACACACACACTTCCCATTTGTAAAGATTGAACTCTTATTATTTTTATATACCATGTTAGCTGTGTAATTTGTGAACAGTTTCATGGCTAAATTTTAATGTCGTGATTACACTATACTTTCTTAATGTGCAGGTTAAAGATGAAGGTGAAATGAGGAAACTTCAGGAGCTCCATAATATTGTTTACAACCAGGCTTGTAGCTGGTTCCAAAGCTTAAGAAATAAATTTCATAGCCAAATACTTCAGTACTTTGGTCCAATGCCAGAGAAGGAAGAAAACCTGCAGGTACTTAGTGACTACAGTCTCAGACAATTGTCAGTGTGACCTTCACTTGTTTTGCTAGTAAAGAGAGTAATACAGTAACTAAATTAACAGCTTTAAGAAAGGCCAGACAAAAAAAGGAAGTGCAAAAAACAGAGAAGGCTGCATAACTGAAAAAAACAAGGGGGAAAAAAAATCCAGTCTGGATTAATTCTGATTTTTTAAAAGTTAAGTCTGGAATGTTGCCGATTACATTTAGCCTAGCACAGTGGTGGCGAACCTATGGCACGCGTGCCAGAGGCGGCACACGGAGCCCTCTCTGTGGGCACGCGTGCCATGCCCCAGAGATGGCAACCGTCCTTTTTCAACCAGCTTCCCGCTAACTTGCCGAGGTCCCACATGGTCAGATGCATCCCAGCATGGCTGGTTTCCCTCCCCCCGTCCCATCCCTCTTGGCCTCACATGCTCTCTCTTTCCCGGGCACGACCCACTGCAGCACCTCCTCAGCTATTGGCCATCTGTCCAGCTTAGAGGCGGCTTCTCTGAACTTCTTGTGGCGGGCTGCGGAGCCCCAGAGTGCGCCGGTCGAGGGGCCGGCAGGCTGTGGCTGCTGACAGACACTGTCGGCCCCCATGCGCTCGCTGACCTCTGTGTGCGGGGGTCGATGGTGTCAGGCAGCAGCTGCCCCAGCCCCTGCCTCACCTTGCCCTGCGACAATGGCACCCCAGCCCTGCCTCACCTCACCCCGCAGGACGAGCCTCCTGCCCACTGTCCCACCTGCCAGAGACCCCTGGATCTCCCCCAACCCTGCCTGGTTTCCACAGGCATCCCTCCCCATGAGCAACATCGAGGTGACCACGCCCACCTTGGCCACACCCACCCAGTCTGCCATGACCACCACAGCCACGCCCACCCAGTGGGCCACACCCACCTGGCACCCGGTGATAAATAAGTGGGTTTTGGGTTGCAGTTTGGGCACTCGGTCTCTAAAAGGTTCGCCATCACTGGCCTAGCATTTTAAACACACTTGTTTTTTTTAAGTGTGTTAAGTAGTTATTTTACTTCTACATTTTGTGAAAGATGATAGTATTTTTTAGATTTAGGAAATATTTTCCTTTTAAAACTCAAATTACCACATCATTACACCATTTTTGTCCTAAATGCCTAAAGTTTTAATATTGTTTTATTTCCTTTTAATTTGGTTTCTTCTTTTTAGGAAACAGCTGATGGACCTGCGTGGTGTTGGTGGCTTCTAGCTGTTCTTCCTGTGGATCCTAAATATCAGCTTTCAGTGCTTTCTATGAGGTCTTTGAGGGAACGTTTGATAAAAATTCAAGCTATATTGACCTATTTTTCCAGAGATCAGTCCAAATAATTAAGGACCTGGACCTTAATACAACAGTATGGCTGTAACTTCAGCTGATTTTTTTTTCTTGCAGAATTTGCACTTTTAGTTCTGATTTGAGAACTATTAGGAAAATTTTTCCTATATCAGTAGTTGCTCAATTAGAAGGATGCCATTAATATCGCACATACACAATTAATTTAGCAGCAAAATATTTATTTGCACTATATACGAATGGAATGTATCATATTGTTGTTATAAAAAAAATTCCACTGAGTGGTGGAAAGTGCAAGATTTAAAATTTGTCCGTTCAAGTTTACAGTATTGAAGACGACTTCGAAATCTTGCCTCAGCTACAGCAGCACCTTGTTGCTATTTGCACAATTATTTAAACGTATTGTCTATTTGTAGAGCAAAAGTCTGTTTTAAGTCTTTAATTGTAAATTTGGCACAAATTTTTTTTGTGAAATTATTATATGAATTTGGAGCCATGTTAAAGAACAGTTGAAAAATGTTTCAAGAAGCTGTTGCCACTGTGACATATATTGTGAGACTAGAAATTAGACATAGATGACTACTAGTGTTTGTTATTTGGAGTTAATTCAGTGTTTCTCAACCTTGACCATTTTAAGGCATGTGGACTTCAACTCCCAGAATTCCACAGCCAGCAATGCTGGCTGTGGAATTCTGGGAGTTGAAGCCCACATGCCTTAAAATTGTCAAGGTTGAGAAACACTGAGTTAATTAAAAGATTAAATGGTCTATTCAGTATATAACAAAACAAAAAAGCAGGCATAGCAACACTGTTGGGCCCTGATGGTTAAACCTTTTAACAGGCTTCAAGGACTTCTGTTATGAGAGAAAAAACTAGAGGTGTCCTCTCCTGACCTTGGTTCTGTAAGAAATAATTTATCTACGTCTGTTCCATGACTGATGAAGCCTCCATATTTGAAGCATATGAGATAGTCAAGGGAGCCGTATGATTTGAGTAACTTAACTCCTCCTTTAATACTTTTCTAATGCTAAAAAGAACAAAGGTTAGGGGATACCAGGAGCATGTTTTCAGAGTCAGATTTTTTCCCTCCAACTTTGGATGGAAAAATTCCGTATATCCAATACTTCCTGGACGCAGTAACCAAAACCATTCTTATATCTACACACACAATATCAAGTCTACTTACAAGGTCTTCATTTGGGAAAAAATATTTTTTAAAAAAATTGTTGCTGTGTCACTGTACTCTTAAATGTAAGTTGTTCATGTTTGGGAACTACTGAAGTATGCTTTTTAAAAATAATTTCCGGAAAACAGAAGTGTGAAATGCAGATTTCCATGCCTTATTCATAACAAATTGTACTGCAACACATAAGATGGCAGTGTGATTGCTAATCGGTTCATTTTGTAGTTTCTCAAATGTCTGTCTTGATTGTGATTCATTTTATAAAGTTATTTGTTAAAAATCTTGCTTTTGCTAATATTTAATTTTCAATAAATCTAAAATTTATATTTTTTAACTTTGATCAGAATCCTTAATATTTTGGGGATTTCAGCATTTATAATACTTTCTAGAACTTAGGTGAAAGTAGTTTCAATTACTTCAGCATGGCATTGAATTATTTTGAGGTCAGTGACAAACAGTTTAGGGTCTGACTAAAAATACAAAATTATGTATTTTGGAAACTGTCTTTCCACCTGTATGGACATTAAACATACAAATTGTTCATGCCATCAAAATGAATGTTTTGGAATAAATTCTTGGATGAAATCTAATGAAAAGGGGGCAAAATTATAATACTGCTCACAAAAATAAAGGGAACATTTTACCATGGAACTGAAGGGGTTTGCGTTCCCTTTATTTTTTGTGAGCAGTATATATATATATACATCTCCCACTTTTTGACCAGGAGTTTTATTTTTTTTACACATGGAACAGCAGCATTGTAAAGTTGCTTGGAAAGCCCAACATAGCTGTATCTTCCCTGTCTTAGCCCAACAGCTCAATTGCTGTATCAAAACTTCGTAAGGAATGCTTTTGTATGAGTAATCAACAGATACTCCATATTTTTAATGAGCAGTTGATGGGTGGAACAGCATATAATTCTACTAGAAATAAGTAGAATACCCGATGTAGTCATAATTAGTATTGCATTGTTGAGTTTTGTATTCTCTCGAAATAACATCTTCCCATTATAGGGTAAAGCTTAATGAAATTCAAAAATCATATGCTTAAAGTTGTGGCCAAGTGATAGGTTGCACATAAGCACCTAAAAATGACAAATAGTGCTGTAAGTCAAGCATTCAGTAGTTTTCCAGTGTGCAATGGAACAGCCTGCCTCCTGAAGTCATGGGTGCTTCATCACTAGATGTTTTCAAGCAAATAGCCAGCCATTTGTCTGCAATAGTATAATACCTGCACCACGCAGGCAACTAGACTGGAAGACTTTTAATGTTCATTTCAACCCTCCAATTCTATGTAGTGATACAAGTGAATCTTAGAAAAGCTAAAGTAAAATAACAGGGAGGAGAGAAGCCCGACATGGGCATAGAAATTGTCTCTGCATGAGGATAGGTAGTTGAGATAGAAACCAAATAGATACCTGTTTTTCAGTATATTGGTCTTGAAATTAACCTTAAAATTCAGTGCTGCCTTTGGTGTGATTTACTTTCAACTCATTTAAGTGATAACATGGTATTTCAGTTTGAAACTGATAAACACGTCAACATGCTGGTCATGGTCAAAAATCAGGTCTGCACAACATATTGACTGCAGGCTGCGTACAGCTCACCAAGCAGCCTTATGTGGCAGGCCAGCATTTTTTGAAGTCAATACATTCATCTTCACAGTTGCCAAGTTCATTGCCACCACTACTAGCCATCAAACAGCTGATTGGTGTGCCAGGTATTTCTGTATGGTCTTCAGTGGTAAGTTGTCAAGAGTGGCCTTCCCCCTTTACAAGTTATAAAGGCATGCTCAAAACTATCTGAAGACCAACTATTAATTAGCTCTATATACTGTATTATCAGCTTTGTACTTAAAGCTAATTATAGAAAGTTTTGGTAGAACATTCTGCACAATATTTTAACATCTTGAATAACTTCTTATACATTTGATTTCACGGTGGGCCACATTCTAGAACAAAAGCAAACTGGTCCGTTTATTAATGGCACTGCTAGCTTTAATACAAATTTTAGGAGAATCGCCAGATGGGCATATTCTGTACAGGATTACAAGTCAACATAGGTAATATTTCTTTTTAATAACCAGTCATGATGCATCAGTAAGATCTATTCTACCTTAACGCACATAATTCTGCTTTCAGGTTAGTTACACTCTGCTAGAAAATACAAGATTAGTTGTTTACAATAGCTTAGAACATGAGAGGGCACCTGTACACTCTTTATCATAAAATAGATTAGGAACAGTTTCCCATTAGTACTTATACTAGGAATGATATGTCATCAAATTCTGGAAGCTAAAATGAAAGAGTGGTTTAAAGAATTCATCTATAAAGTATATTCTCTCATCTTTTTGTCAGCCTGTTTTAAGGAGATCCACGTATTCAGAATGTTGGATCGCAGTTTGGCCCAAACACAGTGGTCATTCAACCCAAAAATCTGAGCAGCAAATTGGGCAGCACCTTCAGGTGAAAGAACTGTGGAACAGCCAAGACCTGTTAAAAAGCAAGACAATTTTAATTTTTAAAATATATGATTGTCAATGTATTACCACTAGATCATCTTTAGTGTGTCAAAAAAAACCTGATACGTAATATTTAACATTTCATACAGAACGTGGAGTTTCAGATGAATGTGGAGGGCAAGGTACCAAAATTCTCTTCAGAACTGAAATTTGTTCAAGTTAGAGAAGGAGCATAAGTTTTTTGAAAGTTAATGTTTACAGGTTTTACAGAGTATGCTCCTTCTTTGTCTGGACAAGTCTGCGCCAGGATTGTGCAAGCTAAGTGTGAGCAAACCCCAGATAAAGAAGCGAAACGACTTCAAAAGAAAAACGAGAAAGCCCAGTTGCCTCATGGAAAAAGCACCTCTGGATTTGCTTATTGACCATGGTGATTTGCTTAACAACCAGGGCAAAAAAAGGTAAAATCAGGCGTTGGTGAGTTATCGCCATTTCTATCTTTTACCTTTAATGCAAAAGTTTTTGTTGGGTGATAAGAGCAAAGCTTAAAATAACCAGTCTACTCATAATGCTGACAAATGTAAGCACAGCCCAGGAAAATATGAAGTTAAATATCTACAGTAAACGGTGTATCCATTTTATTCACTGGGGGTGGTGTGGTGTTAGGGTTAGGTAACCCAGTACTGCAAATCTTTTTAAATCCTGCCTTTGAGCATAATCTTCTGTATGTATATGGTAGAAATAGTAAATTTAGAATCACAGCATTCATTCATTCTAACTTTATCATTGAACAGAACTACAGCTGATAGTACATAATCTTACTATCTCCCAAAAAATAATTTGTTCAAAGTGTTATGATAAACCTACCAGTAGGCATTCTCAGAGATGACCATATATCCTGGGCACCCCAATCAGCTGAGAGAGGAGGACAATTGACAACTGGATATGCAGTGTTTCCGGACAACACAGGTCCCAAGCCATTGCTTCTCCCAGCCACCGCAACAAACACTGTGGGAATCCCATCCGCTAATAACAAACAAGCATGTATCAGTGGGATACAAATATGCTCACCTAAACAGATACTATATTATTTATCATTTTTTTAAAACAGGAATTGAGATTGCCATTGAACTTAAACAACAGTTCACTAAAATAGATAATTTAGACCAGTGATGGCGAATCTTTTAGAGACCGAGTGCCCAAACTGCAACCCAAAACCCACTTATTTATCGCTGGGTGCCAGGTGGGCGTGGCTGTGGTGGTCATGGCAGAATGGGTGGGTGTGGCCAAGGTGGGCATGATCACCTCGATGTTGCTCGTGGGGAGGGACGCCTGTGGGGGCCGGGCAGGGGGAGATCCAGGGGGTCTCTGGCAGGTGGGGCGGTGGGCAGGAGGCTCGTCCTGCGGGGTGAGGCGAGGCGAGGCAGGGGTCCCATTGTCACAGGGCAAGGCGAGGCAGGGGCCGGGGCAGCTGCTGCCTGACACCATCGGCCCTCGCACACAGAGGCCAGCCAGCGCATGGGTGCTGGGATGCATCTGGCCATGTGGGACCTTGGCGAGTTAGCGGGCAGCTGGTTGAAGAGGGATGGTTGCCATCTCCAGGGCATGGCACGTGTGCCCACAGAGAGGGCTCTGACTGCCACCTCTGGCACGCGTGCCATAGGTTTGCCACCACTGATTTAGACCAATTTGGGTTAGGTACCTTCATATTCAGCTTTGATCCTCAGTGTTTCATCTGGTCCTTTGTGAGCGGAGGTCACTCGTAATTCACAAGGCACCCCATAATTGCCACATGCCTTTTTAATTTTTTCACAGTGACCAAGATCGGAAGTTGACCCCATGAGGACAACCACTCTGCGTTGACTTTGTGGTTTCAGTAACAACTAATAGAAAAGAAGACCAAAGGACAATTTAAAAGTACTGAAAATGATGATAGGGATTATCCGTATGTGTTACTCAGAGATGGTATAAATACCTCCACTCTTTCAGCCACCCATTCAAAATTTCTTTTCACCATTTGCAGTGCTTCAGGCGTCACTTCTTTGAGGTCACGGTAAGACTAAAAGCACACACAAAAGAACAAAAAATTACACATAAAATGCACAAGATTCACTTACTTCATACCTACTTAAACTGCCAATATTATAATTAACTGACAAGTCCATATACATATTTATAATAGGGTTTTGACACAGAGGTCCAATGCATGTAAGGATCAAAAATGTGATTTATAAGTTGTTGATGACTCCCCAGTTCCTTTTTTTTGAAACTTCCAAAGTTTTACTTATCACTCAGAGGCAAGGCCTTATGCTTACCTAGCTCTCCGATATCAAATCAGTTAAAGTAATAATTTATGCTTATATGATTAAAATCATGGTTCACTATGCTGTAACGACCAGTTAATACATATTAATATGTGTTTACATCAAATAATAGGCCCAGACTCAACAGCATATTTGAAGGATACTTTTCATAGCTCATAATGGGTAAACAATATTTTGGAATATGAATTTTGTATTCACTCATTTCCTCTTATAGTTGGAATATATAGGTATTTCCCGCCTGGACTATTGCAATGCTCTCTACATGGGGCTCCCTTTGAGGTGCACCTGGAGGCTCCAGCTAGTTCAGAATACGGCCGCGCGGGGGGATTTTGGGGGCCTCTAGATACTCCCATGTAACACCTCTCCTGCGTGAGCTGCACTGGCTGCCTGTGGCCTTCCGGGTGCGCTTCAAGGTGTTAGTAACAACCTTTAAAGCGCTCCATGGCAATGGACCTAGGTATTTGCAAGACCGCCTCCTACCAAATACCTCCCTTCGACCAGTCCGCTCCCACAGAGAG